ACGATATTTGCATCCTCTTCTCAATAAGATTGCTCTGGGTTTGATGCAAATAGTTTTAGTGGATATGACAAGCCTTTAGAAGATCTGTATTGAGCAAACAATAAAGAATCTTCAGAAAGGAATTGGAGAATGTCTAACTCAATCACTTGGAGAGTAAAGAAGAAGAGCATGAAAGAGTTGTGTTGGTAATTTACCCCCAAATAGCTATTTATAGATATTTTCTCAAAAGACAACCTTTGAAAATTAACTATTTTCTCAAAAGACACAACCATTGAAAATTATAACTATTTTCTCAAAAGACACAACCTTTGAAAAATAACTATCAAAAATAAAAGAAAACACCTTTTCAAATAAATCTTTTGAAAAAAAATTCTTAATTTGAACAATTTATAACATCATCTTCATCGTTATCTCGGATACAAATAATATACAGCTTTTTTTTTTTTTCTTTTTTTCTTAACATGATATGTGAAGAAGGTTCTTCATCTATTATCATACTTTTATATTATGATTTTTTTAATCAAAAAATAAGTGGTGAAGGCATATTTTAATCTTTTGATCCTATGGTGATATAATAAGATCTATACCAAGCGCTTTCAAAATATATTAAATAAATGAGTCTTTGAACTTGTAATCTTAGGATATCATTTTGTGTCTTACTCATCCGTTCCTAACTTCTCTTCTTTTACTTTATAAAGATCATAGAATCAAGTTAGATTTAACATTATATCTTTGTTGAATAATCCAAAATCCACTATTGTCTATTGTCTAACATTTTAGAAGGCTAAAATAATTCCCAAAAAATTAAAACCAGGTTCAGACTTAAATAAATATGTCATGCTTTATCTGCCACTCTCTCTCTCTCTCTCTCTCTCTCTCTCTCTTTTTATATACATATATATATATATAGGAAAATGTAAGAGTTTTTGATATATTATTTAAAAAACATCTTACCTTATATAATTAGTTTTTACTTAAAAACAACTTTTTTCATCATTTTATCGAAAATTTCCCTCTCCTCTTCACCAATCACCCCCCCATCATCTAACACAATCTCCGTCTCCACTGTCACACAGCAAGCGACATCACCCATCACCTTTTCCCTCTCCTCCCCTTCCCTTTTGCTTGAACAAAACCAAGGAAAATATTGTGGTAGGAAAAATACCATCAAAATTCTTGAAAGTTGTCAAAGGACCAAAGCTATTGATTACTTATAAAAATACTCAATATATAACAATTAAGGTCATAAAATTTCTCTCAATTCGTTCAACCAATAATCCAATGATTCAAAGCTTGACAGAGTCAATATTCGATCCGATTCTCATAATTACGATAAAAAAAAATACAAGAGTGAGTGAGATGGCACATGATACCAACATTTTGGAGGATGATGCAAACGGTGTGAGAGGCAGGCAAAGATACTGTTAGATACCTGTTGCCAATGGCATCACACACAAGTTAGATACTGTTTGGGGACCTCAAACTTTGGGTGGTCATTACGACGTAGATGACAAACTCCATAAGACATGTCTGCTTGCCACAAAACTGTGGCAGTACACTGCAGACGTTAGCCATCGTACAAGCATGTCGTGCAAGTTGTGCATCAGGTATTCAATATGTTGGCTGACTATTTATGAACAGTGTACTGTAGCAGATCGTCTCTCAAACTTGTGGTTCTATGTGTGTGTAGAAATGTTTGTGGTGAGTTCCTTCTTTGTGACAACGGTGCGTACATCCAGTTATATTTCATCTAATAGTTTAGACCTCTAGATGACTGGTTGACGATGGCATGTGTCTCATGTAACATGTAATGGTTTAGATGCGTTGACATTAACAAAAATTTACGAGTAGGATGAAAGGCTCTTTTCATCCTTTCTCTTGATCGAATTATTGTCTTATATTCTTTATTATTTTTTCACTAGATGAGAAAAAAATATTATGTTGTGTTCATCTATCCCTTTCCTCTACTGTACTCTTCTTAATCTATCACACATCTCTCCTTTTCCACGTAGCATTATCTTCTTTATTTTTTTGTCACATTCGTCTCTCTTCCTCATCCATCGGATAGATAAAATCCCATAAGGTGTTGATTTTTTTAAGTAAATCACCCTTATCATTTTTCACTAAACGAATAAAAAAAATTATGAAATGTAGTTGGGCTTTTTAGTTAATGACTCTTAGTTAGGATATGTGAAGGAGAGTTGCAAGTGCTTCTGGTTCAGCCATCAGCCATGTCCTGGTGATAAGACATTGAGATCTTTAAGGCATTGAAGGGAGAACAATCGATCGGAAGCGGAGAGCAGTTCCCATCATTAGCAGCAGCATCATCTGATAATGACGAGATGGCGTGTGGGTGTGGGTGTGGTGAGGAAAGCCGATGAAGCTACTTTCGAGGCAGATGTTGCAGTAGCGGAGCCTAATATAATTTAATATATAAAAAAGTTAATATTAGAGAAAAATGGCTCAACATTTATGTCGGGAAGAAAAACTTCAAAGATGGAGTATATGACTATTAGGCAGATGCTGAATACTTTCCCTAACACAAATATTAAGGAACGTTTGATAGATTACAGATGATCTATTTACCTGATTTTTTATTTTTTGGTGGCACTGCAGTTTGATCTATCTGCTCTTTCATATGAACAAACCTAATAATTCATGTTCAGAGTCCAGTTTCAAGGAATAGTTCCGCGGTACCAAGCCATCATCCACATATAACATATTTGGTACAATGATGAACTCAATTATGTCCCCCAGAATCCATATCCAATCCCTCTGGATTACTGGTGTTGAGATCTGCCTTCATGTGTAAGGCAGCTTTGATGCATCATTGATAGGCTCAACAGAGTTGAATTCTGTTTAAGAGCTACTCCATCATTTGAACTCAGATGACCTGCTTCTACGTACGTACATGGAATCATGCAGTGCCTCCATGTACGTACTACAAGCTTTTGTTCTCTTTCTCGCTCTCTCCTTTTGACTGCTGCATCGCATGGTAAAAGATGCAAGTGTCCATTTCAGTGGTTGGAGCATTGAAGAGAAGAGAAAGCATCGAATTCCCTTTCCCATCACGCATGCACGAAAGGGGCATGTTGTGGTGACCACTGGGTGATCCCTCGCTGCTGCCATCACCATTCCCATGTCCTCCCCACTCTTTGTTGAGAGGACTCTTCTGAAACCTCCCCTCCATGAAAATTGTTCTTCATCATTCGGTGATATGAGATTGAGATCTGATGGCTGTTGAGTTTGAGAAAGACACAGGTGCAGTTAAGAGTTCTCCGCAAGGAGAACAAGGTGAAAGGTGAAAGGCGAAGCAAGGTAAGTTCACTCCAAGAGGTGAGAGCAACGGGGCCTGCAAGGAACATGGGAGAGATGAAAAGGTGGAACCTTTTCTCCTCCCTCTACTTCGTACCGCTGTCACCATCAACCTTTCTGACATGGATTACATGCAAAAGAACAAGGATCAACAACCCCTTTGAGATGCTAAAAGCCTCTCATCATGAATCATGATCGCTTAAAAGAGCTTCGCAAAGCCTTCAACCAGAACACCACGGCCATGAGTCCCTCGGTGGAATAAATTCCATGTTCTGTGCCTTGCTTTACCACAGGTAGCAGCAGCAGTAATTAGTAATAATGGTGGTGGTGGTGGTGATGATAACCATCACCATCCCTCTCCCTTTCTCTATCCTGCTTCTCCACTTTGCCTCTTTTGCTCCATACTTAACCTGCGCCCAGAACAAACCATAAAGGAGAAGAAAAGCCAGAGCCCAACTTCCTCTTCTGAGTACTCTCCCCTTCCCTTGT